CGAAAGTGAAAGTTGAACAATAAAACGGCCGACAGACTTTGGAGTAATTTTTTGTTTTTCTTGCAAACATGTTGGGATGAGTAGTATGAAAATTTTCACTTATTTTCATTTAGCATGAAATGTTGAAGAGGTTATTTGGCCTTTCATGAATGCTAGGGAGTTCATTTCACTGTTTTATGCATGTTTGGTGCTCGGTTTTGGCTTCCTGTGGCTTTCCCTGGCTTGAAATATATGCTATGAGAAAATTTATTTAACTTGGAAAGTGTTGTAGCTTGTTTTGAGGGCTTGGTTTAGCTCCTCGTGAAATTCCACCCCTGTTCAAATATTTGTTAGAATCGTTGTATGCTTGGAATATTTAGACATGCAGGTTGTTTCTTAACTTTGGATGGCTCGGTTTTACCTACCTCGGTTTTACCTACAGACGATGGCTCGGTTTTACCTACAGACGACTGAAACTTTATTTATATCAATGCTATGAATTTATATCAATGCTTGGGCCTGTTTTAATCTTGTCGAGCTCTGTTTTGGCTTTTGGTTCTTGTTGAGCTCGGTTTTGGCTTCTGGTTCTCGTTGAGCTCGGTTTTGGTTGGGTTTAGAAGCTTGGTTTTGGCTTGAAATGGCTAGAACTTTAATTTTTATGAAAGCCTGAAGTTTCATATTGCTGGGCTTGGTTTTAATGTTGTTGGGCTCGGTTTTGGCTTTTGGTTCCTGTTGAGCTCGGTTTTGGCTTGATTTGGAGTCACGGTTTTGGGTTTGAAATGGTTGAATCTTTAATGCATTATGGGAGTCTGGATTTTAATATTGTTGGGCTTGGTTTTGAGCCTTGAATGGCTCGGTTTTGGGGTTTTTTTGGTGCTCGGTTTTTCATTTCAGGAGTATGGGATGTTGACTTTTGTGGAGACTTGAGTCTTGACTTTTATTGAGATGTTAAAGCTCTTTTCCTAGTTTTAAGAGCTCTTGTGTTTGGTCTCTGCTAGACTTGGTTTGGCTCTAAAGTGGGGGCTGTGTTTGCTTGTTTTAGTCTTTCTGGGCTCGG